CCCCAAAACCCCAAAACCCCAAAACCCCAAAACCCCAAAACCCCAAAACCCCATATGATGACTATACTATAGAAGAGAGAAATTTGGGGAATTCAGACTTTATATATAAGTTATTTACTTCTTCTTTCCCTTCTTGTCTTCGGCGGCCTTCTTCTTGATCTCCTGGATGACACCGACTGCGACAGTTTGTCTCATATCTCTGACAGCGAATCTACCTAATGGAGCATAAGTGGCGAAGGTCTCGACACAGAGTGGCTTGGATGGAGAGAGTCTGATGAGTCCAGCATCTCCTGCCTTCAAGAATTTTGGGTTCTCTTCAGTCATCTTTCCAGATCTCTTATCAGCCTTGGTGAGGAGTTCTTCGAATTTACAGGCAATATGGGCAGTGTGACAATCAATAACTGGGGTGTACCCGGCCTTGATCTCTCCTGGGTGGTTCATGACGATGGTGTGAGACACAAAGCTCTCAGTGTCGGTGGCTGGGTCGTTCTTTGAGTCAGAAGCAACGAATCCTCTCTTGATGTCCTTGACAGAGAGTCCCTTAACGTTGAATCCAACGTTGTTTCCTGGGGCGGCTTCTGGGACTTCTTCGTGATGCATTTCGACGGATTTACATTCAGCAGAGCATCCCTTTGGAGCGAAGGTGATGACCATACCGGCCTTGAGGACACCAGTCTCAACTCTTCCGACTGGGACTGTTCCGATACCACCGATCTTGTAGACATCCTGGAGTGGGAGTCTGAGTGGCTTGGCGACTGGTCTCTTTGGGATCTTGAAGGAGTCGAGAGCAGCACAGAGGGTTGGGCCCTTGTACCATGGCATGTTGGTAGAGTTCTCCTGGATGTTGTCTCCCTGGAATCCGGAAATTGGGACGAAGTTCATCTTGGCTGGCTTGTATCCGACCTTAGCGAGGAAGGTAGAGACTTCCTTCTTGATTTCTTCGTATCTGTCTTCACTGTATGGTGGCTCAGTGGAGTCCATCTTGTTCATGGCGACAACCATTTGCTTAACTCCCATGGTGTAAGCGAGGAGAGCGTGCTCTCTGGTCTGTCCTTCCTTGGAGATACCAGCTTCGAATTCTCCAGTTCCAGAAGCAATGATGAGGATAGCAGCATCAGCCTGGGAGGTACCAGTGATCATGTTCTTAATGAAATCTCTGTGTCCTGGGGCATCAATGATGGTGTAGTGTCTGTTCTCAGTCTCGAATTTCCAGAGAGCGATATCGATGGTGATACCTCTTTCTCTTTCAGCCTTGAGCTTATCGAGTACCCATGCGTACTTGAAGGAAGCCTTACCCATTTCAGCAGACTCCTTCTCGAACTTCTCGATGGTTCTGGCGTCAATACCTCCGAGCTTGTAGATCAAGTGTCCGGTGGTGGTTGATTTACCAGAGTCGACGTGTCCAATAACGACAAGATTGAGATGTTCCTTTTCTTTACCCATGTTGAGTGTGTTTTTAATTAATATTATTAAAATGGATATGGATTTAGATTATATGTGAAAACGAGTCAAAAAAATCGCTCAACTCGGAAAATTTATCGCGGGGTTTTGGGGTTTTGGGGTTTTGGGGTTTTGGGGTTTTGGGG